GAATCTGTCTCAGCCACGAGTCCTTTTGTCTTCCTCAGCCTCTCTCTCAGGTGTTCCTCAGTCTTAGCTTTTGTCTCCCCCGCCTCCTCTCGCTGTGTCCCATGAACATAACATTTCAATCTACTCTGTTTTTAAGAAGTAGAAGAAGATAAACAAGAAGATTAAGAAAACATCCCGTCACCTTACCTCATTAACACAGGCCAAAATCTTACCTTACTCTCCTCCCTACACGTAACTCAAGGCTCCTCCCTACACGTCACTCAAGGCTCCTCCCTACACGTCACTCAAGGCCACTCTAATATCTCGCCGCGTCAGGCCCAAAACTTTTTATTATGCCACGTATACAAAATTCTCAACCGAGTTATGAGAGAAGTTGTTCCTGCCCATCTGTCTATTTACATATGTTAAGTGAGTAATAGCATGTAAAATAGTTGAGGTATGTCTGAAAAATGTAACACGCACACACACACGCGCACACACACACACACACACCTACCTTGACATTTTAACCCAACAGTAATTAGCTATCAATATTTTTCCCCTCCATCATCCAAAACATTTTCTCTTCTTCAGAACTAACACACACAAAACATTCAGCTGGACAAAAACAATTGGGAGGTTATGAGTGTGATAACCTTGAACAAATGTAATCACGAAAAAGAATGACATTGTTTTTATTAGAGATGGATCAATTGTCAGAGCCTCGCTGGAATTTGCCAAGGTTGTCGAGTGATTCACAGCTGATATTTGTCCACGTGTACTTCTTAATCATCAAGGTGCTTAATTAAATCACTGTGTGTTATTGGATGGTGATTGAGGTAAACATCATCTTCACTACTTAAGAATCTCAGTTGAGAGGAAGAGAGTACCCCCCCAGAGTTCAGTCGATTCATTTTTCTCAGCTGTAATCACAAATGTAAACTACTTACCTGCTTTAACATTACACGTCAGGTATAATCATTTTCACATGTGCATTTAAAGCCAACAATAATTGATGTGCTCGCCTTTCTCTATCTCCCCTCTCTCTAAATAAAACTTTCTCTTGTGTATCAGGGAAAGTTTTCTTACATTCTGCCATGACATCACAGCTTAAAACCAACGCAACGCAAAACGCTTAGAAACCTGCCCTAAATACCTCACGCGCTTCAGCCAGTTACACACACGCACTCCGCTGTCGTGTTTACCATTCCCAAGAAGACAGGATACACCGCCACACCTCGCTACCCCGTGTAAACAGTAGTACCGGTACACCCCTCAACTACTTCACCTTGTACCTGCCTTGGCTCTTGTCTATCAACTATCTGGTCTTCCGCCCCAACTCTTTGCCAGGAGTTGGACCGAGGGAAACAGAGACCTCGAGATAGGGAAGGAATTGATACTATAGTGAAGCCTCTTATTTAACGGACTATATGTGTGGGAGGTTAGTCCGTTAAATCAAAGTCCGTTAAATAATGAACTTCCTACTAATGAACTCTATGAGAGGGTAGTCCGTTACAAACGTTCCTTCTAACGGACTATATAAAAAGGGTTGTCCGTTATATGTGAAACGTCCTTCTAACAGACTGTACATAAAGAGGTTTTTCCGTTCAATTGATGTTCGTTATATGGAGGTTCCACTGTATCTCACAATAAAAACCCCAGCGACCCGATTCTTAAAAGACTCGTACAGATATGCGGACTTTTCCTCCTGTAGTGGAAGATGTGAGAAAATATCAAACCAGGTTATTAAAGTTACGAGTAAAATGGCGTCGATATTACTCAAGAGACTCACGTAACTGCAAGCATTATCCCCACCAGTTTGGGAGAAATATCTTCACACCGAAAGGATATTGAAAATTTTAGAACGGATCGTCTATTGCTTGCCACCTGCACCAGCTGAGTTACATATGGGTGCTCACGATCTTCATATTATACCTGAGTTACAATAATACTTGAACTATACGTCATTACCCCCCCCCCTACCACCACCTGCCACTCCAACAGGGTATAAGAATGCATCTAGTTGTGTACACTCTGACTCTACAGTATATACGCTACTTCGACGCCATCTTTTTTGTTAGGATTTAGGTGAGTAACTTCCATGAATTCTCTAATCACTAGTTAGGTGAGTTATTTAGTTTAAGAAGGTTAATCCAATCAGCAAGGTTCTTTTTTTTCTCCGGTGATTCCGTGAAAGAATGTGGCCCCAGAACAAGTACAGGTGCAGGTACCCAACATAACTTAACCTAACCTAATATAACCTGACTTTACCTAACACAACCTAACCTAACTTAACCTAACCGTGGCCCACAGGTCATCTCACCGTATCGGGAGGAGGGCACAGTGTGGGGGAGTGTGTGGTCATCTAGGGCGTTTACAGCCAGCAGGTCGTCCTCAATGCATCTCTCTACCTGCCAGGAATAAAAACGCCGCCACTACTGCTTCTCGTAGTTGTGTTTACGCTTCCCTCGTGTCAACAAACAACACCAAGCGTAGATACATGAAAGGTGTCATCCCACGTGGACCATCGGCTGTGTAGTGCGATTTTGACCATCTTAGTTAAATGATCAGGTTAGGTTAAAACACATAAAACAGACGATCGCCCAAATGGGATGTAATCAATGGAAACAGTACACAAACATCACACAGGAGCAGCACAAGTTTCACCCTGTCAATCTACCCTCCATCTGTAACTCTACAAGACTACAGTGTTGTAGCCACACGGTTGAGTAAAATTATCTTTATTCAGAAACGTAATATATTTGAAACGGGGAATGATAAAAGTTCATAATTATGCCTTCTGATAAAATAACAATGTTTTACGTCATGGCATCAATCATCATAACACAGTGTTGTAACATATCCATCAATTCAAGACGAGAGAAACGGTGTCGGTAAAAATCCCTTCGTTAGACACCCAACCAACTGACCTTCACCGTCACTGATGGCATTCTGGCGTCAATAATTCCCTCACTCAATATATATACTGTCGTGGAAGCTTGAGATCAATAGTTCCTTCATCCTTTACCGAGAAAACGTCTGCACCTTAAGCGTCTTCTGTGTATTTACCACAAACCAATACAGTTTGTGAGCAGGTGGAGAAGCGTTTGTTTAGCATATCACTTATAGGCTGCAGCGTGACCCCGATAATCAGGTTATATTATACACCTTTAACATTATTTAAGTGCTTATTTGTGGAGTTAAAAGGTAGCAGGATACTGTCTGTGTGTGTGTGTGCCAGTGTACACCCTATAATCGATTTCTTTACACCCAAACACATTAAACCAGTATGTGGTCATCTGTGAACCTCTGACACGTACCCTTACACCCAGCCCAGCACCCCCCCCCCACCTCACGTAAGAAATAGGTCACCCCGTACATACGACTCACAACACCATGAAAAACTGGTTTAAATTTGGACCAACAAACCATTTTAAGTGAAAAGCAAAAAGCAAAACATCTCCATGCCACGACACCAGTTATTCCACCCTTTCTGAGAATCGTAGAGACAGGACGTAATGGAGATAACTTATCCCCGTTCACCATACTAGTCTGTCCCTAAACACTGGTGATAACATTAACACTGTTACAGCATTCTAAACTTTATTACATTACTAATAAAAAAGAAAAAAATAATTGGTAGCAGCTCACAGGGTCGATCTTATCGGGGGGGGGGAAATACCATAGTAAACTTTCTAGTGAGGGCTGACTGGCGACGAGGGAGAGAGTAGCCAGGAGAGGAAGGAGGGGTGTGAACGCTATAGCGGGGTCGGTGCGGGCACGTACAGGTTGTCTGTGACCGACAGCCTGCAACGACGGACCTGCCGCTGCTGCCGCCACTACACACACACCCGCGGATTGCACTCCTCTCCCTCACTGCTCCTCTCACACCCTACGTTAACACCTGGGGTCGCCCACACAAGAGTGACCTTCTCCCCGGTAATGTTACTATACAAGACACTTTATAATACATAGGCACTCCTCTCTTACGTCAGTCAACACGTTACTACGGTCGTCCACACACCTGCACAGTGTTACTCTACTCACACTCATATATCACAACACAAGACGTAAACAAAACAGATCAACGTGTACTATAATTATCGTCCATATAAGAGGTGGGTGTGAGGATCCTCCACTGACTCACTGTGGACCTCCAGGCGACTGTGGTGGTGTCTGCCTCACCTCCACCAATAACGATTATAGACCTTCCTCATACACACGACGGTAAACTGTTAAAATATACTCCCTTTTAACAGTGTCTGAGGCCATCAGGGAGGTATGTCTCGGCCTCACAACAAGGTAGAGGTGGTTTACCATCTTCCCGGGAGTGTGTGAGTGTCGTCGTCTTACCTGTTGCTACAACATACCGCGCACCTCCCTCTTGGTGAGTGTGTGTGTGGACACTGCACTCACCGCCCGGCTAACCTCTTCTCACTCTCAACAATTATTTTAATTTTAAACGTATTTTCTCATCTGCACTGGTCAACAGCAGGTGGATAAACAATAAGGCTCGGTATGATCACTGCTTCCATTCTGATATACTCAAACAATACGGCTCACAGATAACACCAGGTTATCAGGTACTGTATATGAACACGAAACTTAGTGTTGTGCTTCCCTAAATAATCACTTACATATTGATAAGTGATAATCTCACTGGTCGGGACAGCCAACACGTACACACTATAGGTTACTGTGCTTACAGCAAGTATACACTGCAGAGGCAACCTTAGGCCAGTGTACACACTTACACACACAAACACTGGCTATAAAATCACAGGAAACCCTCGACATACACACACACACACTGGTCACTAGACATAATATCCGTCGTGGCATAATCACAACTTTTTCCTGCAAATGTTTTAATATCTTTCTGCTTTATTTTGTCTATTGATTCCAAATGTGGCCATCTGCCTGTGTGATGAGGCAAGAAAGCTTTGGTTATCCTTAAACCCACAGGGGGGTGAGACGACCACAAAAGAACTCGGCCGTTGTCACAAGCCACACACAACTACCTGGTGAGCGCCGCCCGCTGGTACATACGGGTCGACGGTCACAGTCACACTAAGCAGCGCGGGGCTCCAGAACCTTGTCGACGCGCTGGCTCACACCCTCCCTCCCTACCACCAGCCGGCACCACCACACCCCTTGCCTCACAACCATCTCCCTAAAACCTGTTCCCCCACTAGACTAACAACACGTGGTACAGTACTTACCTAAGCTACTCTAACACAACACTAACAAAACTATAACACCAAATTCCTTTAACATCAAAATAAACCAATAAATTTTCCCCAAAAGTAATTATACTTTCTTTGGGTGAGTCTGCGAGCAATTAAGTCACCAATCAATATATTTTCTTACACCTAAATGGACTTGGTTGTGTGCAACATCTGCCCCTGGTGACCAATCAGGATGAGCCCCTCACACACACACACTTCCAGTTAATCGATAGTGGTTCATAACAGCTCTCAATCCTTATCTCTAGTAAAATAACCCAAAGTTCTCACCAATATATACTTAACCACCAATCACCCATCGTCAACACAGAACACTGCACTCACACCACACTGATCTCTGCAACATAGTCTGCCATCAATCAATGACCCCCCACACAACTCAGGTACGTCAATATTCCCGTTACTATTCACTTTCTATCTGCGTATGTTACCTAAATAAACTGCTTCAATACCAATTTAGTAGTTTATAATGATGTGGTCACCTCACCTGTCTCCCACCAAGGCTACGTGATCACAACAGAATCTCTCAACACCGTTTAACCTTTTTATAATAAACTGAGCATGATGAGCTGCATAATAAATGAGTAAAATAATACAACTATGACAGCTTGTACTAATTATACCACCACTATTATTATTACAACAACAACTACTACTACTACTACTACTACTACTACTAATAATAATAATAATAATACAAGAATAATAAAATAAATAATATAATAATACGATATCAAATACTTCACAACAAAAACGTATCAACATCAACCATGACTCCTGCAGAACTATTACAAACTATGCAACAAAAACACATTAAAGGCGAGGCAGGCAGCGGGTGTGAGCCACAAAGCCTGGCCGCCAGCTCTGGCTTTTCCACACAGTGACGTCCTGGTGGGAATTGGCCGCTCCAGGGCTAGTTTAGGTTAAGTTAGTCGGCAAGGCTGGATGGTTGGCAACACGTCAGGGTTTGTCGTGTGGCTAGAATAGAGTAATCCAGACTAAACAAATAAGTTTCATGTGGACTCTTGTAATGTACGTAGGTTAGGTTTTCCCAGTAGTATATCCCGACTCTAATGAAACTTGTGAAAAAAATAAGAAAATTACACAGAATGAGACTAAGTGTGGCGACGCTCACCAACCCTCCATACCTTTAACTTACTGAACAAACACCACATCGTAGAGATAGTATATGGACGGACGGATGGACGGACAGATGGACGGACGGACGGACAGATGGACGGACGGACAGATGGACGGACGGAGGACACCACCACTACACGTGTCTCGTTCTTGGCCAGAGGACAACAGTGGAGGTAAAAAATAAATAATAATTATTGGTCACGGTGATAATAGTCCACTTAAATGTCATCATCCACTTGACGTAAGACCACATTATTGCCCTGACTCCCCACCCACCCTAACTAACCTCCCTTCTCCCCAACCTTCTCCTTTTTCCCTAAGTCTTCCCCACCTTTCTCTTCCCCTTCCCCAACTAACCCCAGCATCCACCTTCCACAAGCCCCCTCCCCATACACACCTTCCCCTTCCCCTAACCATCCCATCCCACTTCAATCCCCCCTTACCCTACCCATCGTCCCTCTCACTGTAGTCTACCCATCAGACCACCAATATCACGACGTCCTTGGTGAGAGGTGGAGGAGCAGTCGTAATCACTGAGGCAGATTAATCGTCGTCCCCCTCCAGTACAAACAAACAAACAAACAAACAAACAAACAAACAAACAAACACAAACACACACACACACACACCTAACCTAATATACACCTTACCACTACCCCCACAGAGGAAGTCATTACGTGAGCCAAGATCGCCACTACGAGAAGCACAACGCCAGTCGAAGTAATTGGGTCATGATCATTACACTCATTACGAATACAAAAAATATGACCTACATATTGATGTTTTCGCCACCAACGTCTGCCTCAAACCTGACGCCATTCATTATTTATTTATCTATCTCTGTCTGTCTGTCTATATATCCATCCATCTATCTATATACTTCCATCCATCCATCCGTCTATCTATATACTTCCATCCATCCATCTATCTACTTCCCTCCACCCATACAACCATCTATCCGTCTATCTTCCGTCCACTCTACACTAGCTGTTGGCAGTATGGAGGGAAAAACAACTCCATGTTTCCAGAGATAAACTGTCTGAAATTTGACGCCGACCTTCAAGACTGAGAACAAATGATTAGTTTTTCTCATTATCTCTCACCGTCTTTCTCACTATACTTCTCTCTCATTATCTTTCTTTCTCTCGTTATCTCTTTCTCAGATTCAACCCTTGAGTACAGGTACTACGTTAAAGCCAATGAGTACGTGGACTCTTTAAACTTTCACGTCCTAGGAGAAATAAAACACACTGACTACGTTCTGCACTGGACTCTCCTGGACTCAATGGATTACGTACTCAGTCAAGACGAAGAGAACATGTGGTTGAATGTTGTTGTTAACGATGGTGATATAGTGACAGTGATGAGAGGAGGGGAAGGTGATGGTGAGAGGAGGGGGAAGGTGATGGTGAGAGGAGGGGGAAGGTGATGATGGTGGGGGGAGAGGAGGGGGGTGATGGTGGAGGGTGGTGGGGTGAGGAGGAGGGAAGGGATGAGAGGAGGGGGGTGATGGGGTGAGAGGAGGGGGAAGGGTGATGGTGGGGGTGAGAGGAGGGGAAGGTGATGGTGGGGGTGATAGAGGCGGGGAAGGTGTGATAGGGAAGAGAGACGTGACAGTGGAGGTAGCGGTGTGACTGGAGGTTGGTTCCTCTCCCCTACAAGGCCACACAGCCACAACATGACCCCCCCACACACACACTTATCAACAGGTTTCAGCATACATTCAGTAAATGATGTGGGAAAATTATTTAATAAATTTAGGTAATGTAAGATAGACTCATCGCTGCTGTAAGATAGGAGAGCAAACATACCTCACGCTCTATATACCTCTATCAGTCGGGTCAGACAGAAAGGGCAGGTACTCCAAACAACATGATATTGTCAAGTAAACGATGTTGATGAAGAACCACCACCACTCTTGCCTCATGTTAGGACACCTGGGGAGAGCCCTGTATTGTACTCACTACTATAACAACATTGCCAGCACGAACAATCAACATCGCCAGGCATTTTCTTCAACCCTGCAACGACAAACAAACGCCCGCCTATAATGGTGCTCTTTATATAAGTACTAACTCCCTGCCCCCCGCAATGACACGCTGTTAGTGGGTTACGCCAGACGAAAACCTGCAGTGGCGAAAGTTACCCCCCCCCCTCCCGTCTGCCTGCGGTGGTGCTTGAGTATACTACTTTCCTCAAGTCAACCCTGAGATGAGCATTAAGAAGACGAGGTAATGTGGAGGTGGAGTCGGCGGCCGCCCAAGATTATGACCGGCACAAGCACCCCAGCCAGCCACGTCATACCCCCCCCTCCCCAGCAGAGACTCCACCGCTCCCCTTCTACCTGCGTCCATTACCACCACCACATGCTTCCTCTCATCCACTCACTCTCCACCCTAACTTGGCCCCCCCAGCCCACACAGTCGCCCTCCTCCCACCTGTAGTATTGCTTACACCCACAGACTAAGTGTGTCCCCCCCCCACCAGTCCACTCTCTCCCACACATGTCTGGAGTCCCGCCCATCCACCCAACACACTCTCCTTCCCTCGCCTCCCACACACCCACGCGAGGCGCCTCCTTTACTCCTGCCACCCACCACCACTACTTGTATGTACACACGAGACTACACAAGGTAAGGTCAGCCGCCCTACCACCACCACCCACTCTTTAAACAAGACACCACAACCCTTCTTACCTCACCAAAGTGGACAGCGAGCGGGCATCCACCTCCTACCCTCACCTGCTAACCCCTTAACTCCCTCACACTACCAATCAGATGAACGCTAACCCCTTAACTCCCTCACACTACCAATCAGATAACGCCCCCTCTGCCCTCCCTCACACAAACACTCAAAAGTACTGTTGCCTCCCCCCCCCCTCCTTCACACGAGCGCCAACCATAAGTATAGTGAAGCCATAAGGAAGATGCAGGCAGGCAGGCAGGCAGGCAGGCAGGCAGGCACACACACATTACATCATGGGATTACTTACACCAGGAGGCAGGATGGCGGCCAGCCAGGCCGTCAATCAGTCAGCCACCCAGCTAACCAATCAGTCAGCCACCCAGCTAACCAATCAGTCAAGTCAAAAGAGCAGGACATATCATACAGATGTGCGGGACAGGAAAGCAATCAAAACAAACAAACAAACAAACAAACACACACACACACACACACACACACACACACACACACACACACACACACACACACTCAAGCAGCAATGAACATGGGACACATACAGCAGTGCAGGCCAGTCAGTCAGGCAGACAGCTAGCCCACGGCCCTGGGCAATATTTTGCAGTTGCAGACCCTGGGGAAATCCGTGTCAGGTGTGATGTACCGGGGAGGTGATTATCCCGGGCCTCACCCAGGTAAAGTCGACCATCCCGCCCACCCAACAGTGACTCGGCGTTATTTACCACCCCGTGAACACTCGCTCAAACAACCATGTACTTTATCTTCGTCAAAATATTTTTCTATTCATTCTTCCCTCTCATAAAAGTCGCCATTATGCACCCGACACACATAAAGACCATCCATCGAGTCAATAGTTTTCCTTGTTGTTTCCTCTACTAAATAGTCGCCATTGACCTAACCTAACCGAGTCACACATTAATAAACAAACACTCACGTTTAGTCCAATATCTTTACCTGGTACTATCATAGTCTATTTTCCTCCAGTA